AAGACAGCAAACTATATCTGCAATAGAACTCCAACCAAAGCAATTAATGGCACACCTTTTGAACTATGGAATGGATATAAGCCTAGTTTAAATCACCTTCATGTGTGGGGATGTAAGGCTGAAACTAGGGAATATCATGTTGAAAACTTAAGTAAGTTAGATTCTAGATCAATTTCTGCTTTCTTCATTGGATATTCAGAAAAGTCCAAAGGTTATAAATTYTTTAACCCAGGAAGAGGACAAAGAATTTATGAAACCAATAAGGCAGTGTTTTATGATGAAATGTTTAATGAAGATGATGATTTGGGAAATTCTTCTCAAACTTCACATGATCTAGACAATTGGATGATGTATCATGAAGAGRAATCATCCTTGATCCCTGAAAATGAAGATTTGACCTCACAATCCATACCCATAGTAAGAAGYAGTATATTAGATGATTCAGTTGATATTACTGATGACCAATTATTAGAGTCAATGCATGAGTCCACACATGATCAAGAACATGTACTTGAAACTGAGCATGTACATGAACCAATACAAGAACAACCAACAGATACAGTACCAAATACTACAACTCTAAGAAGGTCTACAAGAGAAAGAAGGCCTGCAATACCTGATGATTATCATGTCTATCTGACTGAAACAGAATTTGATTTAGGAGATGCTGATGACCCAATCAGTTTTAAGGAAGCTATGGAATCACCAAATAAGGATAAATGGGTGGAAGCCAAGGAAGATGAATTAGCTAGTATGTCAAATAATAAAGTATGGGATCTCATTGACAAATCAGATTCTATAAAACCTATAGGCTGTAAGTGGGTATTCAAAACTAAAAGAGATGCAAAAGGAAAGGTTGATAGATATAAGGCAAGATTAGTGGCTAAGGGCTACAATCAAAGGGAAGGCATCAATTACAATGAGACCTTTTCACCTGTCTCTACAAAAGATGCATTCAGAGTCATAATGGCCATTGTAGCACACTTTGACTTGGAATTACATCAGATGGATGTAAAGACTGCCTTCTTAAATGGAGATTTGGAAGAAGAAATCCATATGTGTCAACCAGAGGGATTTGTACTGAATAACAATAAGGTTTGTAGATTGAACAAATCCATTTATGGTCTAAAACAAGCATCAAGACAATGGTATAAGAAATTTGATGCTGTTATGAATAATTTTGGCTTTGAGGAAAACAAATTAGATGAATGCATATACTCAAAGACCAGTGGGAGTAACTTCATATTTCTTATACTGTATGTAGATGATATACTGTTGGCAACTAATAGTAAAAGTCTCTTACAATCTACAAAAACTTTTCTTATGAAGAGTTTTGACATGAAAGACATGGGTGAAGCAAATTATGTATTGGGAATTGAGATAATCAGGAACAGACAAACAAGAACTCTAGGATTGTCTCAAAAGGGTTACATTGAAAAGGTTTTGAAAAGATTTGGCATGGAAAATTGCAAAAGAGGTGAAGCCCCAATTTCAAAGGGTGATAAATTGCATAAAGGGCAGTGTCCTAGCAATTCATTTGAAAGGAATGAAATGACCAAAATACCCTATGCAAGGCTAGTTGGAAGCTTGATGTATGCACAAGTATGCACTAGACCTGACATAGCCTTTGCAGTAAATATGTTGTCTAGATTTCAATCCAATGCAGGTCATTCACATTGGGTTGCAGGAAAGAAGGTGCTAAGATATCTAAAAGGGACTATGAGCCACATGTTGACATATGAAGGATCTGATAAGGAGCTRAAAGTAGAATGCTACACAGATGCTTCGTATAAGCAAGATCATGATGACCTTAAGTCTACTTCTGGTTACATTTTCATGTTGGCAGGAGGTGCAATTTCATGGAAAGCAAGTAAGCAATCATTGACTGCTAYTTCTACATTTCAAGCAGAATATATAGCTATCTATGATGCAACATCTCATGCCATTTGGCTTAAGAATTTCATTACTGGATTGAAGATTATAGATTCAATACAGAGACCACTTACAATGTAYTGTGATAATGCTGCTGCGGTATTTTTCACTAAAAATAACAAAAGAAGCAGTGGTTCTAGGAATATAGACGTAAAATACTTTGCAGTAAGGGAGAATGTCAGAGACAAGGAAGTTGAAGTTTTGAACATAGGAACGAAGGAACAATTGGCAGACCCTTTGACCAAAGCACTTCCAGTTGAATGTTTCAAGAAGCATGTTAAAGCCATGGGAATGATACATCCTCTCGACATCTAAGGTTGATATGATGATAATTATGGCATGTATTTCATTATAATATGTGTCTATTTAATATATGCTTGTGTATATGTGCTTAAAATATATTATGTTAATGGTTATGTGAAACTATGATTGTACAAATTTGGATGTTCACATATGCTTGTTGAAGCACTTTTATGAATTCAAGCAATTAAGGCATTTACAGAACCTTGCTGAATTGAAATTTTAAGCTGTAAATGTTCAAGGAGGATATGGTATGAATAAACAGGTATATAACATTGAGGTTGCATCATTGTGACCATGGAAGCCTGCACAATGTTATTGATCAGTAAACTTCCATGATCCACTGCTCAATTTCAATGTTATATACTGTGAAGGAACTGATGTGATTATATAAAACCAGTGCACAATTTAGTTAATTGTTATTATCAAATTATTATCTTGTTCAGTGGGAGATTGTAATATATATAGAAACATATATGTATATATGCTCACCTTGAGAACAAGATTCATTGCATAATAACAATTATGCTTTATATATAAGCATCAGGTATATATATATGTATGCGTACCATCAGMCTCTTCTTTTCTGTCATATATATATAGCAGTTGGTTTATTGACAGTTTTATGGTTCTTTGATGGTGAGAACAATTCTTTCAGCCCCATATAAAAACTTCTCTGGCGCCATTTTACATCTGTCTCTCACAAGAACACACAGAATCCTATTTAGTTACCAAAGGCCATCAAATGGTAAGGAATTAAGAGTGGATCTTGAGAAAGAATGGGTGATCAATCAAACAATCAGAACCCATCTTTATCAGTCGCACAAGGTACACAATTCAAGCCCTAAATCTCTTTACATGAATAGATTCAATTCTGATGTGTTAATGCTATTCATGAACTTAAATTAAGTCTAACATACCCTTCTAGTATTATTAAAACAAAAATAAATTACTTCGTCATTAAATCTAATAATAAAAAATTGAATTAAAAAAATTATATAAAAAATAGAACTTATATATATTTTTAATTTTTATGTCTTTAAATTTATATTTTATTAAAAAAACAATATTGTTTATTTAAAATCATATAAATATTATAATATTAATATAAATAAAAAATAAAACAATAAAATCAAGATACGAATATGCAAGTTATTATAAAGGAGTACACGAAACACCCTGAAAAGGACAAGATATTGGGCCATCACAAGTTCACAACTGCCTTTTTCAATTCATTTGAATGAAGGAATATTGCTAGCTAGCGTAGCGGTATTAGTTTCGTAGTTAGTTGGATTACCCTCTTTCCTTCTGTAATCATTCAACAATCAGCAACCCACCCTTCAATCAATCAATCAATAAACCTAGTTTTCTATCAAGATTTTCTTCGTAAAATGGAAATCGATCCACCCTCTTCAACGGGAAAGGATCATTTCAAGCTATGGAACCAACTAGAGTTGCACGAATTTCAGCATAAATTCGTCATCAGATCACTTGAATTTCCCGATCAAGGCTTTTCAATCGCCCGTTCCGATGGAAGCTTTCATAAGCTTGACGGTTTGATTGCCTTTTTTCCTTTCTCATGTCTCTTCATCACTTCATGAGTGTTTGTGTTATATGTTTGGTTTTAGTTTTTTTATACTGAATTTGGAATCTACTTAAGCTATGAACAAGCTTAATTTTGGTTACAATAGCTAAACTTGTTGATACTTGCTCTTCGGAATCAACCTTTGGCTATAATTTAACATTTGATCAGTATGTTGAGGTTCTGGGAAAATTTGTGTAAATAATTTAGAGAAGTTCAATTTTGAAGATGTAGTTAAATGCATATTCATTTGTGAATATGGTGATCCTATTTCTAGAAGCATACTTCCCTACATTAAACAATGCTAACATGGAAATTTTGTAAATTGTCACAGGTGATGTTAATTTGGAAACTGCTTCCAGGGTCTATACGGTATTTGGTGTTGCTGGAACTATTAGGTTGCTTTCAGGTGCATGTTTGTGCTATTTAGTAAACTCCATTTTGAAATGCATCCTATATGATTTTAAATTCGGTCTGTTGGACATATGTTGGTGCTATAGGCAGATAAGCCATTGAAAATTGGCAACTTAGTTTAGTTCTCATTTTTGTACTTGAAAAGTTACTACTGTTATGTAAATTTTCTTCCATGAGATTATGAAAGATGCTAAGTGAGTGGAAAGTATTTGATACTTGAAGTTCTACAGTGGATAAGTTAAATCTGTTGGATCCTTTTTACTTGCTTTTATTAGTAAGGCTAGGATTTTGCTAAAGAGTGATTAAAGATACGTGTAGAAGTTGCATGTGTATTAATTTTAGGCTTAATAGGAAAAGCATTTGATAGAAGTTTGTATTGGTTAATTGATGAGAGGGAACACAATTAACGTTTCAGCATCAGAAATAATTATGAAGCTGCATCAGTGAGATAATGCTGAAAAGAGAACTGAGTTTGATTGTATCATGACTCTTTAAGGTAGTAAATAAAATCTATAAGATTACTAGAAAAAATGCAGATGACGGTTTAGGAAATTTCACGAAAATTTGGTGTTCAGAAAGAAATTATGCTGCAGGTGTTCAAAGTTACATCTTGTTCTTGCCTGTATAACTTATTCCTCTTGTGGTCTTTGTGTAGGGACATACATTTTGGTCATAACTTCTCACAAGGATGTTGGCACTTATCTTGGTTTTCCTATCTTCCGGGTCATGTCTATGAAGTTCTTATCCTGTAATAGAGATTTAAGAAATCTAACTAATCAACAAGTAAGTTAAGTTTTTCAATAAGCTGTTCCATCCAGCTGATGAGGCACCTCCGGAAGTTTGAAGCTCTAATTGTTTCATAAAATCATTCATTATACAGAAAAAAGACGAGGCTTACTTCCAGACATTGTTGAAAATTGTGGAGGAGACTCCTGGCCTGTACTATTCCTACGAAACTGATATTACATTAAAGTATGTTTTTTTAATTATATTACATTGTTGAAAATTTGATCATCTCATAACTAGGATTCTTGTTTTGCATATTGTCATTATGTTTTGGCTTAAATTTTAGACAAACTTTCATTTCGAAGAAACTTGATGTCCTACAGCTTGCAGAGAAGATGTAAGATGGCTGATGGGTGGATGAGTAAACCAATTTGGAAGCAGGTACATTCCCACATATGAGTTCTGATGGTACTATCATCTAAACATATAAAATCCGCCCTTACCTAGTTATCTTATCCCATTAGTGTTAATGAAAGACGCCCTTCATAGCTACTTTTGGTCCACGTGTACCAGGAATTAAAATATTCAGAGACTATGCTTTTCAGTATCACCTATCCTGGGTTTGTTAGGAAGTGTAACACCATTTGCAAAAAGCTTACATAACAATGATCTCATTTATAATTAAAATATTAGAGGAGGGTCTAATTGTAGGGACCCAGTTCAGGTATCACCTTGAGGATCATAATTTCCCTGTTTGCATTTCAGGCTGACCCACGGTTTGTTTGGAACAGGAATATCTTGGAGGAGCTAATTGAGAATAAGGTTAGTTGTTCTTTTTGGAGGAGACCATGATAGTGATTCTACTTTACCTTTTTATCTTTTTGCAACTGTTTGTATTTTGATTGTATAGATGGTATGTAATCTTAAATTGTTGGAATATTATATTTTCTGATACATTGATATTTCTTTATTGCAGCTTGATGAGTTCATCGTGCCATTATTACAAGGAAATATCCTCTCCATGTGTCCATATGACACATTCAAATTCTGTCATTTCCATACTTTTCTGTAACATGAGGCCAACTGTACCAGATATCGTCCGCTTTGTCCATACACCTGGACTCAAGGTTTTAAAACGTGTTTAGTAGAGGTGGTATCCAGTCCCTTATAAGGCAACCTTAGTTCCCCTCCCCCAACCAATGTGGGATCTTACAATAATTTTTTTTGAACCATTTACTGATTTGTGCGTGTCATCCTTGCACAGGGGCCATGCTAATAATCTTCTCTGTATAGTTCCTTTGCTCCTTACTATATAGTATATACAGATGTAAATAGTTCTACCATTGGATTTTAAGAGACATAATTGTTGTTAGATTCCATGCCATTTATGATGTCTCCCTTAACCGAGGATTAAGCTTCCAGATGGGACGTCTCAAGCTGAATAATTTAACGTCCACAATTACATTGATATCAAGGAGGTGTGCAAGGCGTCTTGGTAGGTCAAGATGAATATTATTGATTTGTTAGATTTAGTGACAATTATCTTTGCCAGTAGTTTGAGGTATCTGATACGAATTAGGTACTAGAATGTGGAGGCGCGGAGCTAATCTAGAAGGAGATACTGCTAACTTTATTGAAACGGAGCAATTGCTGGAGTATGAAGGATTCAGATCATCATTTTTACAGGTAATTACTTTTTGAAAGAAAAAGTGGCGCTCCAGATATTTTCCATCCGTCATCTGCAATTCCAATATATGAGTATGTTAATTACTGTTTGTAACTTCCAGATTTGATTGTTTCATTCTTCTGAAGATATGATTGCATTCTTATTTATAGAATTTATCACCCTTCATAAGAATTCAAACCTTAGTGCATATGAAATTCCTGCTTGTTTTTTGGTAATACATTCACTAGGATACACCCTCTTCCGTGTCTTGTGTTGCTTCTTTTGAATTAGTAATACTAGGGGTGTTCTTCCAAACCGCCGAACCACCCATACCACCCGTCCACACCACAAAGCACGGTTTAGAATTTCCACGGTGCGGTTTGCATTTTTACCGCAACGCACACCGCACCATACATTTTATATATATATATATAATTTATATTATATAATATAGTAGATAATATTTTTAGTTTTCTTAGACTATTTTTAATTATGTAATATATTTAGTTTCTTGGACACTTTTTTAATTATGTAATATTTTTAGTTTGCTTAGACTATTTTTAATTATGTAACATGTATTTAGGAATTGGATGTATTTAAACTTTTTATTGTTTGGACTACTGTCACATTATTGTTGATTTTATAATGAAGTTTTAATCTTATAATTATTGAATTGTAGGTGTAAAGTGTGTTAGATACAAACCGCATAAACCGCACCACATTTTGCAGTGCGGTTTTTTGTGGTTTGAGATTTATGATGTGCGGTTTGGGAAAATGCTCAAACCACATATGAGGTGCGGTTTGATGTTTGGCTTCAAACCGCACCAAACTGCACCGCGAGCACCCCTAAGTAATACCCTCTAAAGTTTCATAAAACAAGAGTTTGAGTTTTGAGATCGAAGACACTAATTTTCAACTGAAGTTGGAACAAGATCCAGATGGATTTCGAATTAAAAAAGTTAACAGGTTTGACTGCTAAATTCAGAATGTATCTTTCGATCTATTCAACTACTTCTAAATGTTTCTTGATGTCTTAATGCAAAAGGTGAAATCAAGCTTGTACACCTCCAGTTTACTGGAACGTAGAATTATATTTCTCAAGACATATTGAGGATGTTATATTGTCTGATAAATAAAGTAACTTTTGTTTTCAGGTTCGGGGTTCGATATATTGAGGATGTTATATTGTCTGATAAATAAAGTAACTTTTGTTTTCAGGTTCGGGGTTCGATTCCGCTCCTGTGGGAGCAAATTGTTGATTTGAGTTATAAACCCCGTCTTGCTGTTATTGAGCATGAAGATACGGTATGGACTGCCATCATAACATAGTTTAGTCTTTATTTCATGAGTTTTACGTTAATGAGAATATGACATGATTTCTTTAAAGTCTGTGATGTTTTATGTACGAGTTACATAAGATGGCAGCTAATAATAACACGTGTATTTTGTTAACTGCCGGCAGTCCATGGTCGTGAAACGCCACTTTCATGATCTTTTACAAAGATACGGAGATACCATTGCTGTTGACTTAACTGATAAGGTAAGTGCTTGCCGCAAAACATTTACTTGATTGCATTGTCATGTTCTATTTAGGGAATAAACCAATTTTCGTATTTGTTAAACCACCCTAATTATCATATAAACCATTTCCTTATTTATTAAACGCTAATTAGTAGATTGGGCTAAGGCTCATCCATGAGTCTAACAACAAAATCATTTGATATCTATGCTTATTGTGTCTATGTGTGTGTATTTACATTTCCTTAGTTGAAAATCTTGCACTATTTACATGATGAAGGTAGCATGTGATTACAGTCAGATTGTCAAAATATTGCAAGAGAAGAAAAATTATGTCATATAGATAGATACATACACACATGCAGTATGCATGCATGTGTGTGTATACACGAACTGCTAAGCATGTATCATATGTTCTGTTTCTCCAGAACTAGTGAACTTATATAATATTCTCTTACATGCAGCATGGTAATGAGGGCCATTTGAACCTTGCGTTTGCCACGGAAATGGAAAAGCTGCCAGATGTTAGGTAATCCGGTATTCGTGCTTTGAAGTTTACTTTATTTCTTGTACGATCTCCATTCATTTTATTTCATTTATACAAGGATGGAAACAGACATAATACATAACAGAACTTCTCATATTTCACATACACATCACCCGTAACTCAGTGATGTGAACATGATCAATACATTGAAAATTTCAACCGCTCACTTAATTATTGCGAGAGAAAAGAAGTTAGTCGTTTGATAGGTGCACCCGCTTTATTTTGAAGGGTGCCTTTAAATCTTTGAAACAAAATCTATGACAGAAACATTGGGTGGGATGGTTGGATTACCACTTTATATATAAGAGGTCAATGGTTTGAATCTTTCAGGTGAAAGTTTACTTTTTTATCTTTTAATTCTAGGTTCCAGGGCTGGCCAAGAGCATTTACTCAGGCTCTATAATGCTATTTCTGAAAATATTAACAATAAAAATGTAGTTAGAAGGATTGAACTCACAACCTCAAGTACAACATTATTACCACCACTATGCCAAGGCAACTTTTTATTAATTTTTCTCCCATTTTGATTTTATGATTTTTTCTATGATCTATTTTCCTTCTAAATGTCAATTTATCTTAAAATTTGTCGTTTTTTTCTCTCTTTCTCAAGGCAACATATATTTATTTTAAGGATCAAGGTCGATTTCATTTGAAAAAGTGTATCTTATTCCTCAAATCGACACAATTGACTTTTCCTAGGTCAAACCGTGTTGACTTTCTCCCCAGGTCACACCGCGATTTTGCCGACCTTTGATCCACCTTAAAGGTGGACGCGCTCAAAGAAATTCCTGGGTCCGCCACTGGTTATGGTAATTTGAGACATTAGAATTGGGATGAGATCATGTAACATTGAGCTCATAATTAGTATTTCATAAGTTCAATCTGTTGTGAACTGCAACTAGAGGCAGAATGCAGGTTTGACATGAGCTTATTATTATTGATTCAGATATGTCTCATTTGACTTCCATCAACGCTGTGGCAACGCAAATTTTGACAGTTTGAAACTTCTGTACGATGAAATAGCCGAAGACTTTGAAAAGCAGGGGTATTAGCACAACTTGACTATACATTTTACAAGTCCTGAAATAGTTTCCTTAATGGAGCTACGATGGTTTTCCATAATACCATTTATAATATTGGCTGTTCCAGCTGAGCAGATACTTTCTCCAAAACACAGAAGGAGAATTGCTAGCGGAGCAGAAAGGAATTATTCGATCGAACTGCATAGATTGCCTTGATCGAACAAATGTTACACAGGTTGGAGAAAATGCATTTATGCTTTACTCAGTTATCCCAAAGACAAACTGTAATTTTAAAGGATCAAGAAACTTGAACTTCCAAGTTGCTCTACAACAAAATCGGTTTCATAGGACGTCAGATATGTCTAAATGTCTGAATAGACTGCTTTATAGGACTTACATTTATGAAGACAAACAATCATGTGTCTTTATGTAAAGGGTCACAATAAGTCGATAGGACGTTTTTGGCATCCTAACAAGTTTTTTAGGACAATTTTGAAATAACGCTTCCTGTTAGTCTTTTTAGATGACAATATTTGAAAAAGTGTCTTATAAAAACAAGTGTCCTATAAAAAGGTTAGTTCATAGGACACTTCTCAACCATGTCCTACAAAAACTAGCATGACACTTTATTTCAATAGTGTCCTAAAAAACTTGTTAGGATGCCAAATACGTCCTATCTTCCTATTACGACACCTTTATATAGGATGCATGATTGTTTGGTCTTACAAACTCAAGTCCTATAAGGCAGTCTATTAGGACCTTTAGACTTTTTTGGCGTCCTATAAAGACGATTTTGTTAGGTATATCTATACTATATTATAAAGCATTTGACAAAAATTCTTAAAAACCATTTTTTATACATGAAGTACTGTTTATTGATGCATATTACTTAAAATTTAAGATTACAAGTAAATTGTGCATAATTACAACTTATCAAAACTCCATATTTGAATTGTGCAACTAACTGCAGATAAACATAATCAAATATTGGATAAATATCTCATTTTAAATATAAAAAATCTAAAATATAATTAGGATAATCTTTGAGTTCTAACAGAATACTTAGTTATTATCTTTATAGAAAATTATATTATTAAACCTAAATTAAATTTCTTTGTTACTAAACCTAAATTAAAGTATAATTAAAAAATTGAATTAAGGAAATTACATCAAAACACAAGAACTTTTAAAAAGATTAATTTGATACTGATATCTATATATTTTTTATCAAAATTTTATGATATTTTCAAATTTATATTTTATTAAAAAATAAACACATTATCGCTTTCTAAAAACCATATAAAACCGTATTATATCGACATAAAAATGAATAAAACGAAACACTGAACTCAAGATGTGTCTCGATGCATTGCACGAGTACCTTTCTAGTATATATATATATACACACACAACAAATGAACTCACACACCCTCCTCACCTCTGGTGGGGTTTGAACCTTTGACCTTTTGAAAGGTTGCGCTCCACTGATAACCCGGGTACTGCTAGGCCAAAGGCCCTTTTGTTTTATAAAGCCGATTTTGCTGTAGTGTTGTTCTCATTAATGTATTCTAGTTGATCATAGTTTGTGATATTTGCTTGAGATCGAGACCAAAATTGCTATGCTTTCTCATTGCAGAGCTATCTTGCACGGATATCTTTGAATCAACAATTGCAGCGGATGTGTGCACTTGCACCCTCAGAAAGCATTACTACTTTCACGGACCATGAAGATTTTGAGATTTTCAGGAATTGTATGGGCTAAGAGTATTATCATTTGTGGTCATTTCAGCAGTCAAATGTTTGTTTGGTTTTGATATTATACAAATTTTTGTTATAGTGTGGGTGGATCAAGGTGACGAGATCAGCCTCGAGTATTCTGGAACCAATGCTCTGAAAGGGGATATTGTCAGGTAATATCAATAGAAAGATCGAGACTCGGGAATTCTCACGTTTCCCTCTTGGTGATGCTTTTCTGAAAATGAAATTTTGCAGATATGGCAAACAAACTGTTTCCGGATTGATCAAAGACGGGATAAGCGCCCTCTCGAGATACTATTTAAATAATTTTCAAGATGGAGTTCGACAGGCAAGCTTCTCTATAAAAAAATTTGGCCTTCAGCTTTTTGCTTTTTCTGCTGCTTACTTTTACCTTTTCATGCACTCTTTTTCACAAGTCGGGGTCTTTACAGAAACAACCGCTCTACCATTTGGGGTAGAGAGCAGGTCTGTGTACATCCCACTCCGACCCTACTTTCGAGCGGGATATACTATGTCATTTGGTTTGGTTTGGTTTTTAGTTGATACCAAAGAGTGCTATTGTTTCCTAGTTGTGTTAATCTTTTTCCCGGTATTATTCCGTGTGTTTTCAGGATGCAATAGACCTCATTAGCGGAAACTATACCGTCAGTGGAAACAGTCCTTCCCCATTCCAGCTAAACAAATTTGAATCACGCACTGTGAGTGATCACGTCAAGATTTTATGTCTATGATACGTGTTCTCCATTTACTGGCCATTCGTCGTTATGATGCAACTTGCAAGCTCACAGATAATTATTTGTGTTGATACAAGGCTTTTGTCGTTTATAATTCACATTTCATGGTACTCCCAAAAATAAATGCAACCTTTGAGTGGACACTTTATTTACCTTTTAATCAAGGCAGACAAACAACGGGTTTTGACTAGTGAACTAACTTTTGGTTTAGTTTCTAGAGAATTTATCAAATGAAGTTAGATGTGCAGCTTTAAGCGTTCCCGAGGTCATGACCTCTAGTAGAACTTCTTGGAGACGTAGGATCAGGGTAGCAGACTAGGGGTGGGGATCTATTGCTGGCATAGATGGGAGGAAGGGAGCCAGAGAGTAGTGAGTTGGACTAGGGGTGTTTAGTTTCCTTAAATTAGTTGGTCTTCTTGCACCCTTTCTATTTTTAATGTAATTGCATACTCATAACTAGCTTTTCAAAAATTTATCATATCTGTGTTTCTCTCTTCCACACACTTTTCACAAGCCAGAGTGTATTCACGGAAATAACCTCTCTACTCTTTTGGGTAGAGGTCGGATATGCGTACGTTAAATCCGCAGAGCAGTGACCTCTTGACAAGTGTTCTAGGCATTCTTGTGTATGGAAGTGACATTCTGCTGTCTTCTGAAATCTGTCAGAAGGTCATGGATCTAAAAGGAAAACCTGTCAGAAGGTCATTTAACAAAGGGACCCCCTCTCCCCAGTCCACCTCTGGGCGGTAAATATTGGGCTTGTTTGGTTTGATTTGTTCTTTTTAGAATTTATCAAATGATACCTATGCTTTATTGGTTTTGCTTCTATTGCTAAAATCTAAAGAAGTTTGACCATCCAATGTTAGTGTTAGATGTTAAACTTACATGGAACATTCTGCTTCTGCTTTCAATAACCCATCTTACTGAAATACTGAAGAATTTGAATTATATGCAGTTATTTCCGGTAGCATCAGCTATATTGATTGGAGGGTTGACAGTAACATCCATCACTCTTAATCGAGGTACTATACGAGCTCCATTTTAACGAAAGATCTCTACAGCTCCACTTTTTAAATTACAAGAATACATTTTTTAGACTTGGTTCACAATACACATTCCTAAACTGTGAATCAATATTCCATGAATTAGCCCAATAACTTTCATGCTTTGCTTATAGGGCAAATTGCCTGAAAATGCAACGTACTTTGGTCCAATTCCTATTTTATATGACGTACTTCCAATACCTTCATTTTGATACTTCATATGTGACATCTCAAACATTTAGGTACCTAGTTTACATATTACGCCTATTTATCTTTGTATATTTTCACCTGAAAATCTTACATCATTTAAACCAAACCAAATTAACCTGGTGAAAGTGTTTTCACCTGAGGCAGTGAGGCAGAGTCTGGGACGCGTAAATGTATGTAGACCTTTCGCCTCCTGTCTAAGGTCTAGAAGGGATAAAATGTACACACACCTTATCGTTGTGTCCCTATCTACGGTCTAGGAGTCAAATGTACTCGTACCTTGCCCCTATGGCCCTTCTAGTGTCTAGAAGGGGTAAAATGACGCATACATACCCCTCTGGCCATGTCTAGGGTCTATAAGGGGAAAAATCTAAGGACACCTTACCCTTGTGTCCCTGTCTATGGTCTAGAAGAGGTCACATGTATGCACATCTTACCCTGTCGCCTTGTCTAGGGTCTAGAAGGGGTGAAATGTACGCATACCTTACCCCTTTGGCCCTGTCTAGGGTCTAGAAGGGGTAAAATATAGTCAGACCTTACCCCTGTCTCAAGAGAAAGAGACTATTTTCAAGAAGACCCCCCACTTGCGAAAATTGTTTACTGAAGAGAATATAAAAAGCACATTACTTTCCATAAAGCACGGATTGTTTGATCATGCTATATCTTCGTATCATGCACATCTATTATGAGTTTTGTTACGTTGTTCATATTCAAATTTCACCTCAATAGCTTCGTTTTGTTCTTATGTTGGCTTGAAACTGTAGCAGGCCAAAATGCTCAAAGTGTGATATCTTCCATAGTATGTGTGGGCGCAACTGCGGGAATGATGGCTTTAATGAAAGCCAATGGAAGACAAATATGTTCCAGGCCTCGTTTGTGCGGCCTTTTGTAGTCTGGTGAACCCGTTACTCGTTCTGTATTGTATTTCATACATAAATGGCTTGAATAAACATCTTTCAATAAGTTTGAATCATCTTTTCTATTGAAATGATGGTACACTTGTATATGGTTTTCCCACATAGTCTTGCAACAATAAAATGCACTAAGATGATTATAACTTTGTAGTTCATCATGGTATTTAAAGTCTGGTTTATCGGTCTGTTCACAGACAGACAGATAGGTGTTCTGTTATGATCCAATAGTGTATGTTTTAACTATTTGTTCACTAGTGAACATATATATATATATATATATATATATATATATATATATATATATATATATATATATATA